CTCAGCCTCCTGAGTAGCTGGGATTACAGGCACGCGCCACCATGCCCAGCTAATTTTTTGTAGTTTTAGTAGAGACGGGGTTTCAGCATGTTGACCAGATGGTCTCGATCTCTTGACCTCGTGATCCACCCGCCTCGGCCTCCCAAAGTGCTGGGATTACAGGCTTGAGCCACCGCGCCCGGCCCCAGATAACTCTTTTTTTTATAACAAAGTTTTTGTAGGAAAACATTAAGACATATTCAAAAGTACAGAATGATAAATGGACCCCCGTATGATATGCCCTTTATTTCACCCTGATTCAGCAGTTTTACCTCTCATATTTTCATTTATCCATCTATCTTTGCTTTGTTTAGCTTAAGTATTTTAAAGTAAATCCATTACATCTATCTTTGCTTAGCTTAGCTTATTTTCAAGTAAATCCTTTACATTATGCAATTTCACCCCAACATACTTTTGTGTGTGTCTGTAAAGATTATAGATATTTGACTTACCTAACTATAGTGCTATTGTTGTGCCACGCAAAAGCTACAATTCCTTGTTATCTAAGACATACACTTAAAAAAAAAGATGCAGAGCAATGTGGACAGTATGCTACCATTTATACAAAAAGGGAAAAATATTTCTATTTCTTTATAAACACATAAAATATCTGTGGAAGGATACATAAGAAACTAATAGTACTGGGTTATCTTAGTAGAAAGGAATTGGGTGGCTTAGGTCAAGGGTAAAATTGAGATTTTCCACTGGTTACCCTTTGATATGTTTTGATTTTTGAACTATATTACCTATTCTAAAAATAAAACAAAATGATATTATAGATTGTGTTTTTTCCTTTGTGTTTATATGAACTGTTAGATAGAAACACTCTTCCAATGAGTTTTTCTAATATTCTTTCAGTGAGTTTTTCCAATGCCTTACAGGAGGTGAAGAACCCTGCTCAGAACTGTAAGACACACTAGTTGCTGTATCTATGGATATTAACCATCTGGTAGACATTACCCTATCTAGAAAGAAACATAAAACAGAACCTCTAGCCTAGAATCTAATTCTACCTAGAGTAAGGCATTTTGGAAATGTTTAAAAATTATATTTTTTCAAATTCTGGATACTAAAGATACAGGTATTAGCAATTTCAAGTATACAATACATTATTATTAACTATAGTCACCATGCTGTATGTGAGGTCTCCAGATCTTTTCTATTTTATTACTTGTACCCTTTGACCAACATCTCCCTGTTATCCCCACTTTCACCTCATCACCCCAAACTCCTGGTAACCACCATTCTATTCTCTATTTCTGAGTTTGACTTTTTTTAAGACTCCACATATAAATAAGATCATGCATTGTTTGTCTTTCTGTGTATGGCTTATTTCACTTAACATAATGAAAATACTTTGCTAAGAAAGTTGATTTCAAATACACACATACAAGGTAACTATGTGAAGTGATGGATATGTTAACTAGCTTGATTGTGGTAATCATTTTGCAATGTATATGTACATCCAGACATCACACTGTAGACATTAAATATATATAATTTTTATTTGTCAATTATACCTCAGTAAAGTTGGGGGGAAAAAGGTGAAAGTATTACATAAATGCAAGGAGAATTCAATCTCCAAAAGCTACAATGTGGCATAGCTTTTCAAAATTCAAACTATACACTTTTTCATTGGTAGAATTTCTAAATAGAGAACTGCCACCAACTCTGATCCAGAGACCTTTCCTTACAATAGATTCCTTTTCTCTTGTGTTCTCTGGCAAATCAACATCATGCAGGTTCAAAGCAACATTTTGATAAAGCTCTCAACTGTAGGGTAGAGTGGAGTGCCTTGAGTTCTAATTCTTTTTAACATTCCTCATATTTATCATATGCTGGTACTACTGACAACATTACACATTCAATAAATATTACTGGTTGTTTAAAGAAAAAGTTCATATATATTGAAAATTTTAAATAAATGGAAGCTTCTCAAATAGCTTGGTCATAATGTGCAGAATGGATTTGAAAGAGGCAGAAACCAAGGAAGCAAGATCAATTAAAAAGCCACTTCAAAAAAAAAAAACATAAGAGTACAGACTTTTCATTAAAATGATTCACTGTCTTCCTTCATGAGATCGCACCCACGTATTCAAACAGGGTTGCTGGTGAACAGCACTGGTTAGTAAGAATGATAATGGCTTTCAGAGTGGCTGGGGCCAGACTGAGTCCCTCAAACACCATTTATTAACCATGTAATCTATGAAAAGATGTTTATTCTCTACGATTCTCAACATCCTCCTTTGTAAAATAGGAAGAAGAACAATTTAAATATATAATGTTCGTCATTTATAAAACACTTTCATACATACACAATAAAAAAAATTCACTTCCTCAAAAATATTTACCAGGCATTTAACTATAGTTATAAAGTGAAAATGTATTAGATCTGTTATTTGTTACACAAAATCTAAAGAAATAGCTGTTTTGTTTCCTGTGAAATACACAGATCCAAAATGGCAAAAATAGAGAAAATCGAAATAACTCTAGTTATAATTAACTTTACATTAAACAGCCTATTATCATTTGTCCATTTCACATCTCCCATCTTTCTCTTGTTATATTTGACAGGCTAGTGATTAAAATTTTGTAGCTTAATGTAAGACTAGGTAAGGTACAGTTAATTTTTTAATGTCCATTATAAAATGGCTAGTAATGTTATTTGAAGATAATATTCTCATACTTACTGATTTTTAAATTTTTCTGCTGTGCGTACGAATTCTGCTTTCTTAGTCTGATTAACTTTCTGCTTCCAGTTTTGAAGATGAAAAGAACGAATTCCACCTGAAGTACTAAAACAGCCATCATTCTGCATTGAGAGAAAAAAAAACTTAATAGTAATGAAAACAGTAAGACATAAATGTGGAATTTTTTCAGAGAGATAAAATGTCAATAGTTGAGTTTCTTGGAGGATAATTTTGGAGCCGATCTTATTTAACTCTTAAAAGTACATTTGTGAAAGAAGGAATATCTATCATATGAAGGAATATCTATCTTAAAATGCTAAATTGAGTAAGAAATGTTAAATATCCAGGGATTATATGCAAAATAATTCATTCATTCAGTCATTTAACAAATATGTATTGAACACTATGAAGTGACACAGGCTGCATTAGACACTAAGGAAACAGTGATGATCCATAATAATATGGCCCGTCTCAAAGTCTAGTGAGGAAAAACAGATTTAAGGAGAAAAGAGTAAACAAGCAATAAAACGGAAACTCCACCAGGTGCAATAAGTGCTATTAAGAAAATAAACATAAGGGCTGAGATGGAGAAAGTGGAGCAAGGGTTTGCTTTTTCGGTTACAATGGCCACAGAAGGTCTATTTGAGGGGATGACTTTAAGGAAGAATGGAGCCAGCCATCACAGGAACAGTAGGAAAGCGTGTTCTAAGCACAGGGATCTACATGTGCAAAAGCCCTACAGCATGAAAGACTTTGCCGAGTTCAAGCAGAGAAAGGCCAATTGTGACACAAGATTAGTAACAGTAGGGATCTTGGTAGGAGATAAAAGTAGAGAGGTAGGTATGTGCCAGATCATATAGACATTTTAGGTCACTTAGGGGGGTCTGAATTTTATTGAAGAGTTTTGAGCAGGGAAATGCCATGGTACATTTAATTCTTTAAGAAAAATTTTCTGGCTATTTCTTGGAGAATAAATTGATGGGAGATGTGGGGATGAAGTGAGGCAAGAATAAAAGCAGGAGGATCAATGAGGTACCTGGTACAGCTATACAGGCAAGGAATGACAGTGTCCAGGACTACAAAGGAAATGAGACTCAATGTATTTTGGAGGTATCACCAAGAGGGATTGCTGAGCAACAAAAATGGGTAGTGGGAGATATGAGGGGAAAATGAAACAAGGCTTTAAATTTCTAGGAGAAAAAAAAAAAAAGTAGTAAATCTAAATCTAGGAAATATATTTTAAGTTGAGACATAATTCACATACCATAAAATATCTGTTTAAAGTGTACAATTCAGTGGTTTTTAGTGTATTCACAAAGTTGTGCAACTATCATGACTATCCAGTTTCAGAATATTTTCATCATACCAAAAAGAAACCTCATACCTATTAGCGGTCACTCCCCGTTCCCCTTCCTCCCAGCTCCTGGCAACCATTAATCTACTTTCTGACTCTATGGATTTGCATTTTCTGGAGAATTTATATAAATTGGCTAGTATAATATGTAGCCTTGTCTATCTGACTTCTTGCACTTTGCATTATGTTTTCAAGATTCATCTGTGTTGTACCATGAATCAATACTCCATTTCTTCTTAGGGCTGAATAATACTCCATTATATGGATCTACCACATTTTGTTTATCCACTAATCAGTCATTAGCTGATGGACAATTGGGGTGTTTCAACTATTTGGCCAAGTTACTACGAACATTTGTGTACATGTTTTAATGGGAATACATGTTTTCAATTTTCTTCATTTTACACCTAGCGGCAGAATTTCTGGATCATAAAGTAACTATTTTCTTACTTTCCCGTTTAAAAAAATTGGGTGGCATAGCAAGGCCTGGTGGCCCATGCCTCTAATTCCAGCACTTTGGGAGGCCAAGGTGGGAGAACAGCTTGAGGGCAGGAGTTTGAGACCGGCCTGGGCAACATCACAAGATCTTGTCTGTATAAAAATTTTTTTAAAAAGCCAGGCATGGTGGCATGAGGCTACCAGGAGGCCACCTCAGGAGGCTGAGGTGGGAGGATTTCTTGAGTTCAGGAGATCAAGGCTGCAGTAAGCCATGACCACACAACTGCACTCCAGCCTGTGGGGACAGAGCAACACACTGCCTCAAAAAAAAGTTGGGGTGGTTGACCTTTTATTGTGAAGTTAAAAGCATTCCTTATATACCGAATGTAAAAGTCCCTTATTAGACATATGATTTGCAAATATTTCCCCCCATTCTCTGAGTTGTCTTTTCACTTTCTTGATAATGTCTTTGAAGCCCAAAAGTTTTTAACTTTTTAAAGAACTACCCATTTACATTCCCCTTAGAAATGTATAGGGATTTCAATTTCTCCACAAACTCACCAATAACTGTTATTGTCTTTTTTATTACAGTCATCTAAATGGGTAAGAAGTGATTTCTCACAGTGGTTCTAATTAGTCCATAATGACTAATGATGTTGAGCATTTTTTCATGTGCTTATTGGCCACTTCTAAGGAATGCCTACTTAAATCCTTCCTCTTTTAGAAAATTTGGTTGTCTATTTATTGTTGAATTGTAACATTTATATATGTTACTCAACTTTTATGGGAGGCTATTGTTTTGGACAGAGCTCTGGCAGTAGGCCCCAACAGACCAGACAAAATAAAAAGAGTCATTCATGCTAAGTGCCACACGATCAAAATGAAACTTTAAGGAAATAGGTAAATTTCCCCAATTGATCATTTTTTTTCCTGAAAACAGAGATGCACAGCAACCAAACAGAAAGGGTCCAGTCAACCTGACTCCGAGTAATAAGAAAAGCCTCTTTACTTTTACCCTCGTAAGTTACCTGAAATAAACGGATGTTAACCAATCCTCTTTCTTTGTTTAACTGAAGTGGTGAAGGTCTTATGTTGCCCAGGTTGGACTCCTGGGCTCAAGTGATCCTCTCACATCAGCCTCCTGAGTACCTGGGATTACAGGCACATGCTGCTGTGCTCAACTCCAATCTGCTTTGCTCTTTTAGCTCCAAAACATTCTTTCATAATTGAGATTATATTGGTTGTGTTGAAGATCAGTACACACACATTTCAATTTGCACACAATTTTTATCACAGGTACCAAAAATCTAAAATGCCGTGTATATATTTTTTTTCCTTGAGACGAAGTTTCACTCTTGTCATCCAGGCTGGAGTGCATTGCCGTGATCTCTGCTCACTGCAACCTCTGCCTCCCGAGTTCAAGTGATTCTCCTGCCTCAGCCTCCCAAGTAGTTGGGAATACAGGCACCCACCACCATGCCCAGCTAATTTTTGTATTTTTAGTAGAGACAGGGTTTCATCATGTTAGCGAGGCTGGTCTCGAATTCCTGACCTCAGGTGATCCACCCGCCTCGGCCTCCTAAAGTGCTGGGGTTACAGGCATGAGCCACCACACCCGGCTGCCATGCACTTTTAAAAGTTATTCCAGTGACTTTCCAGCTTAAATTTGGAGGAAATTTTTCCTTAAGAGGCGATCAAATACCAGTATCTTCACATGTTGATAAGCTGTTACATACATCCCAGCAACTCACAATTTAATACCACATATACTACATACTTTTAATTTTCAATCTTTCATAACACACTAACAATGTTATTAGGAAAATATAGGATTACCATAACCAAAGACGTCACAGAGTACACACAATTCTGACAGGGAAAGCCATGATCAAAGAGTGGTTTTTTATAAGGAAACATTTCTACTAAAAATTAACACGGGAATTGAAGTAATTTAAAATGTTCAAGACATTAAATGCAGGACCGTGACTCCATATTGCCATTTGGTATGCTTAGTATTAGAGGATATAAGAACTAACCCCCTTCTATGGAATGTTAAGCTGACACCCAAGACAGTCAAAGCCTCCCATAATTTAATATTCCACACTATTTTGTAGTTGTACGAAAAAACAAACTGCAAATGATTTCACCTCTTAAAACATTTATACTTAAAAAATAGTATGAGGTGGGGTTCTCTCCTTCTTAAAAATGTTCCCAGAGTGACTAAAAAACTTGCATTTACAAGATAGTTGATAAAAATATGAATCTGGATTGTATAAGGAGGGAGACAGGGACTACTAAGACACAGTAGATGATATTAATCAGATTTGGCTTTTTTTCTTTTTTTTTTCTTTTTTTAAATCAAACTCATTTTATTGCCAGGCAGACTTGGTTTCTTTCCCTTAGCCTTCATCAAAGCTCTCCTTGGTTTTAGTTTGTTTTCTGCAGGTTAAGTCTTCTTTAGTTTCTTATTTAGCCACTTCGGCCAGTTTTTCTTTTACTCCCCTTTTCCCTTTGGTTTGCACTTTGTGTCTGAAGATTTATCCTTTCATGTTGCCTTTTTTGGCTTCATTTCTGCTTTTGTAGGAGCAAGTTTAGATGACAACTACATGAATCTCCTCTTGGGCTCGCCCTTCACTGTCCCTTCTGCTTAACTGACCTTCTTCTTGGGCTTCTTGGCAGGAGGAAAGGTACCTGCCTGGTGCTGTGCTTGCAAGCCCTGGTGTGTGAGCCTCTGTGGAGCTGGGATGCCTGGCTATTGCTGCTCCTCCTGCCACCCCAGCTGCTGAGAGCCCCATTTTTTTCTACTGTTCCTGGGTTTTTTGTTCCTGCTCTACAGAATCCACTGTTCTGTCATGCCCTATGGTAATTATTATTCTATTTTATAGAATGGGAGGCTGCCCTGATTCATGAATTGCAAATAAAAGCCTATTTGATCTATATTGAACTAAATTTGCTGTAACTTTATTCAATATGTATTTTAGATGTAAGACCCTTATCAACATATAATTTGCAAGCATTTTCTCCCATTCTCTGACTTCCTCTTCACTTTTTTTTTTCATGTGGGAAGTTATTTTCTTTTTTTTTTAATTGCATTTTAGGTTTTGGGGTACATGTGAAGAACATGCAAGATTGTTGCATAGGTACACACATGGCAGTGTGATTTGCTGCCTTCCTCCCCTTCACCTATATCTGGCATTTCTCCCCATGCTCTCTCTCCCCAACTCCCCACCCCCTGCTGTCCCTCCCCTATTTCCCCCCAACAGACCCCAGTGTGTAGTGCTACCCTCCCTGTGTCCATGTGTTCTCATTGTTCAAAACCTGCCTATGAGT